ACACACACAGTAAAGAAAGGTTACACTGCAAGCAAATTAGGAAAAAAAAAGACCCGCTAAGATTATAGAGCTTTAATGAATAAAATGCTGGAGTTAGAGGCAATTTTAATTAACAGTTAATATCAAGACGAGTTTAAACATCCATTTTCTCGTATTTTCAGTTTTTCATCTCTTTGCGCGTGTCAGGATTAAGGCCACCGAAAATATGCGATAGCATAATATACGCGTATAGAAAACATAGATTTTATTGCAATAGCAGATTTTGCATAATTCGGGATGGACTTTGTAATTTACCGCCATAGCGACGCTTTGCTACCCTTGGAACTTAACTGTCGCGTCGCGTGATGTCAGAGTTCCGACATTCAAATCCCGCTTATAATTAGTAGTCATTTTTAAGCGGATTTCGAATATTGAAACTCCGACGTCACGCTACGCGACAATTAAGTTTCAGGGATAGCGGTAAATTACAAAATTCGAATTGGAGAATTTTTTTGGCAGGTTTAAACATAATGACATCTATGAGTACCGGAACCAAGAACACGACGTGTTCCTCGGAAAAAAGCGGATAGCTAAGGTCAGTCTTTTTTAAAAAATCTTGATAGAAATTTATCGCATAAGCAGGCCTATAGAGCAGGCAGAACTTGGAACCTGTCACAGCAGAAAATTGGTGGCCTAGTCATGATAATCAGAGATCACAATTTTACATTCTATAATAACTTTCCTTTTTGAGTTTGTATCACAAATAGCGATAACGATAAACACCGGCGAAGCCGAACTTTCTAGTGAGAAAAAGATTTTGATGAGATTTGATTGGTGCAGAGTGCAAGAACCATGATTTTCTGCAACAATATATTGCCAATTCCGTCCGTGATAAAACAATTCGTGCATCATAATTTTGTAATAATATTTATTATTCTGCGATTTTGTTTTTTTTTATAATTCTGTAATTATAAAATATATAAAATATATATATAATAATCAAGATTTAACTATTAATTTTGCCTTTTCACTATATAAGTTCCAATGCTAAACTATTATAAGTTTTATAAAGTTTTTATCGTGCTTGCTAATGTGAATTCAGCATCAATTCTGCATTACAGCCTGATTTCGTGTTCCGTGAACACAGGAATCATCCTTGTCGATCATTTACAAATGATATAATAATATCGTCATTTACATTGAATCCAAACATTACTGCAGAAAAAAGTATGTATAGAATCCCTTTTTTTTTATTTATTTATTTATTTATCTGTTACCATTTCTCTTACGCTTCTCACTTTTACTCTGGGTAATCTTTATTTTAACGTACGTTTGCAAATAAATTTTTTATTTCGAAAAAAACACCTTACGAAGTTTACCTATTTTGCTCCACAAATTTACCAAAAGGCTGTATGCATCCAAAAGGTTTTGCGACTCTTTAACGGAGTTTGAGCACGTCAAGCGACAGTTACCCAACCAGATCCAATATATGGTGGGCGTGCTTGTTGTGAACGTTTTAAAGGTTACTACCTCGGTTATTATTGATTCTATGTTTGCAGGACTGACTAGTTAAGGTTCTTAAGAAAGTCGAATCAATATCAACCTTTGTGAGGAACGTGATGCATATTCTATAATCAGGCAGCTGGAAGCTCTTCGTGGCTACAATTATTGTGAACGTTCTTGTTTGATTTTCAATTATGTCGCAATTATTAAATTTTTTTTTTTTTTTTATTACAGAAATATATTATACGAAATCGATGAAGTTCTACACACGACCGATAAACGAGGCGTCTCGCCACAATATACGGTAGACGAACGTCTATGTTTAAACTAGAACCGATTAAACAAATACATTCTCAAGACATGTATGCTAGCAAGATATATGATACTTGCAAGACATGTATACTAGCAAGTTATATGATACTTGCAAGACATGTATACTAGCAAGCTATATAATACTTGCAAGGCATATATACTAGCAAGTTATATGATACTTGCAAGGCATGTATACTAGCAAACTATATGATATTTATAATAAGAATAATAAGATTAAACCAGAACCGATTAAACAAATACATTCTCAAGACATGTATACTAGCAAGTTATATGATACTTGCAAGGCATGTATACTAGCAAGCTATATGATACTTTTAATAAGATTAAACCAGAACCGATTAAACAAATACATTCTCAAGACATGTATACTAGCAAGATATATGATACTTGCAAGGCATGTACACTAGCAAGCTATATGATACTTTTAATAAGATTAAACCAGAATCGATTAAACAAATACATTCTCAAGACATGTATACTAGCAAGATATATAATATTTGCAAGACATATATACTAGCAAGATATAAGATACTTGCAAGACGTGTATACTAGCAAGCTATATAACACTTGCAAGACATTTATACTAGCAAGCTATATGATTTGACTCTGAGATTTTGATAAATTTTTGTGGAACAAAAATTTTAAGAGGAGGAAAATGTTACAAATCAGGTTTTGGGTAATATAGCATAGAATAGTACATATTTCATACTTTATATTTTGTATTTTATACTTAATATTTTTTTATATTCAAAAATTTTCAGAATATATTAGTAAACCGATTAGTACAATAGAAATCTCGAGCAAATTCTCTAATTTATATCACTATCCTGGTTATTATCTTCTAAGTTTTCAGGACAAATTTACTTGAAAAAATTGGGTAAACAAGAATCTATTTTATTTTTCAATTATTTGTTTTTTTTTTTATTTTATTTTGTACTATTTTATATATCAAATTTTAATGTGCAAATTTACTTGAAAAAAATTGGGTAAACAAGAATCTATTTGATTTTTCAATTATTTGTTTTTTTTTACTTTGTATTATTTTATGTATCAAATTTTAATGTATTAAGTTAGTCAAACTATAAGTTCTTGAACGTCATTCCGAATTTTGCACTTTTGAGCAGCCTGTAAACAAGAAGCTTCAGTTTCAGATTCTATTAAATTCATTAATGATTCATACAATAATTTATTTTCATGTGCATTTTGATTTATATAATCATTAAGACTTTGGAAATTTGAATGTTATGGTATTGTTACGATTTTCGGCTTTATCTACACGTATTTCGGCAAGAGCATTATCATAATTAACATTAACTCATCATATGATATGAATTTAAAGCCGACAATTTGTGAGCCAGGGGTCAAGCACGTTTGATCAGTTAAAAATACTTTTCGCTGATTAAAATTGAACTGCGCCCTGATTTTCTTATTTGCGTTATTCAGTTGAATATAGCCAATAGAAGTATTCATTTAATTTTTTATTCGAGCTGATTTATCATTTATTTAATTTCTTTTTACATTGAATTGAAACAACTGATTACTGCGCGGAGATGCTGAAATCGGATGATGTTAAAGTTAAAACTAAAGATGGTGAAATAAAATTAGGGTGGTAAATAATTTCACCACTATTGGCGAAGCTGGTGTTGAATTGGTGAAATTGGTGAAACTAATTTCACCAGCATCTTTATGTATAATTTTTAAAAATTGTGATACATTTTTTTTTTAGATTGGACTAAGGTATAGGGTTAGGGTTTATAGTAAGAGTATACCGTAAATGGCTGGATACAAGATCATCCTAGATAGTAGATCCACTATGTGCTATACCCGGGTCTACAATATAGGATAAGTTTTGGAAAATGTAAAAGATTCGGGGTATACAAATAGGAAAAAGCTAAGAAAATATTATGAAAATAGAATAAACCCTCCAATTATCAGACCCACGGGTCTAATTATAGGTTTTAAAATTGGTGAAATGTAACAGACCGGGGTCTTGTATCCGGCCATTTACGGTAGGTGGATTTTGGTAAGGCATTACTGTATTCTAAATTAAAGCCCAGATTTTCATCCAAGACATTTATTAATCGAAGTATTTAAAATAAACAACTAATCTCATTTTTATTCGTGTTGATTTAATATTTAAATACTATCATCATTTATCAACCGAAGTAGTGCTCGACACAATCAAATACTTGTGATTAAGTCGGACATCAAATGTCCGACTTAACCACAATTACCGTATTGGCGCGTAATAATGCGCATCTGTGCGTTATTTTTTGGACGCGCATGCGCGGTAATTCAAATCATTTTGACAAATTTGGGTTACAAGATGCCCTACTTTTAATACTGTATTACCGCGAAATAACGCGCAGGAGTGAAATTACAATTTCCGGCCTAAATTAAACTTAATTCGGGCCGAACCTCG